TTGGAGAACACCTGACAAGAGAACAGAGACCATTTTTCTATACAGAATCTCTCCAGATCCTTCAGTTTCCGAGGTCCGTGTTGATACACTCTCCATCTACGTTTTCTATAGGGTTCAGATCAGAGGACTGGGATGACCATTGGCAGAACCTTCATTTTGTGCTCAGTGGCTCATTTTTGTGTTGATTTTGATGGTCTTTTTTTTAGATCATAGTCCTGATGGAAGACCCAAACAAGGCCCATTATAAGATTTCTAGCAGAGTCAGTCAGGTTTTGAATGTGAATCTGAACAATGGAGTACTTTTTTTTTTTTTTTATCCCTGTGTGCACCAACCCCCCCTTGAGTGTTTCCTGCAAAAAGAGCTAATTTTTAGGTTCCGTAAAACCCAGTCCTGTCTGAAGTTCCAGTAGTGTGTGGCAACCATAGATATGTATAATAGAATCCAAATTCGACAAACCCACCTTGAGTGTTTCCTGCAAAAAGAGCTAATTTTTAGGTTCCGTAAAACCCAGTCCTGTCTGAAGTTCCAGTAGTGTGTGGCAACCATAGATATGTATAATAGAATCCAAATTCGACCGCTCCAAGCACGTAGACGTGTCCTCCATATTGTAATGGTCAACTTGACGTCATTCACCATAATAATCAATGAATATTTGAAGATGCCACAGTCCTGCACAGCCTATGGTTGTAAAAACCGCCGGGATTTAAATTCCCGAAGAAATGGGATAACCTTTCACAGGTAAGAATGTGTTGGATTGTGTGTGTGTTTTTTTTTTTGTAATTTAAACCCTGGCAGTTTTTACAACCATCGGCTGTTCATTCATTGATTATTATGGTGAATGACGTCAAGCTGACTATTAGCGGACCATAGAAACAGTCGCTAATGAGGCATCTATGGTGTACTTGTCTATGGTGGCAACTGAATATGCTGGAATTTGTGTTTGAATGAAAGTTTGAATGATTTTTCTTCAAACCCTCCCAAACAACTTGTGGTGATGTAGGTGTTTTTTTTTTGGCCACTCAAACTGTTCTCTTCATGTTGGCCTTTGTGTTCCTCATATTTATACTCCAGTGAAACAGGAAGTCATGGCTGGATAATTTCATGTTCCTAGTCACCCTGGTGTGCTAACAAATGTAAATATGAATAGAAAATTCAGAGATTTTACTCATAATAATTTCTAGGGGTACAAATAATTGTGGCAAATGTGTATTAGAGAATTTTTTTTCCTAATGTGGTTTTGTTGAAAAGTTATATTTTTTACATTTTATTTTTAATTCATTTTCATTTACTTTTTTTAATATCAAAAGGATAAACAATACAGATTTATTTTCAGAATCTTATTTGATCATATGTACTTATGTATGCCAATAATTCTCACCATGACTCTCTCTCTCTCTCTCGCTCGCTCTCTCTTTCTCTCTCTCTCTCTCTCTCTCTATATATATAACAGCTCCTTTATGTATAACATAATATGCAATAATAATAGAAACGTTGAAAAACTGGCAACACCTGATTGCAAGAATTTATGCAAGAATTCATTACAAACAGATTTCCAGGCATTACTTTTTTTATTCCACACCTGATGTGTGCAGTTTATTTTGCTTGCTTTAAAAAAAAGTGTCCTCTTGTTCAGTAAAGTTTTTTCTTTTTTATGTTTGATTGCAGTCTTTTTTTCTGGTGCCATTGTTTTCCTTAGAGTTGCTTCTCAGTTCCATACAATTTTAAGCTTTTCTTGGTTCATTGCATGTTCAACCTCTGCATGCTAATTCAGATTAGCACAGCTGGTCTTAAAATGAATCAAACTGATTTTAGTTCAGGACTCCATAGTCCAAGAGTTAGTAATCTGTACTTAATCTGTGTTTCAGAAAGCCATTTTTAAAGCCATGATTAACTATGCCTACTCCATGCAGACTTAATTTAAGCCCTGTCTGGGAAACCACCCCATAATGTTAAGTTCATTGAACGTAATTGGGCTCCTTGAATTTAAATGACATTAAGTTGAATCTCATATAATACTCTTATTAAAAAATGTAAATTGTTTAAATTTAAAAAGAGTTAAAGTAACTTGAAAACATATGTTGTCATGGCTTTTTCATCATATCATTTTTTACAGTAACTACATAAGAACATCGCATTACTCTTGGACCACTCAGTGTGGACCCACTTTGACCTCCTCTTGATTCCTCATGACCTTATGCATCTTATTTATTTTAAATCAGGTGTTAAGCAAGTGTGGTGGCTGCTATGTAATGTTTTGTCCTTGAGGCAATTATAAAGTTCATAATGGACGACAGAGAGAACAAATTTAATTAAGATAAGCCTTTACCTGTTCACCTGTCTCTGTTTCTCAGTTTGTTCTCTTTGTAACAGCCATTAGAGGTCCACAAAATTCAGTTCAATTCACTGTTATTTATTTTCCACTGCTCTGTGTCTCTGTGTGAGTCATAATAATGTCACAATCTGCTTTATGATTCCGCTGCTGCACTGAAGTGATAATGGCCAATTACTGAAGCAGAACTTGATCTATCGTGTTTTTTTGTATATTCAGCGGAACAGAACATTTTATTGAATGACGGTTTAAATTTATGATAAATTACATGGTTCCTCTGAGCCAGTGAATAGAAAGTCAAAGTGGCCTGGACAGTAAGATGTCAGTCATCAACAGTGTGCTTGCAAACTTAACTTGCATTATTAAGTGGAAGCTACATATTTGATTCATTATCCTAATCATTACAAAATTATACAAAATAAGTATACAATTATACAAAATGCTAGAATGCAAATTTGCACTTGCATACTAAATATGGGCATAAATAAGCAAATGCTTATCCCAGTGTGAATAGTAACATATAAGCTACTGTTTAAATGTGTGTGTATTCAGTATTGTTTTCTTTGTACACTGTGGTATAAATAGCAATATATAAATCTTGATCAATTCATTTATCTCTATTTGAACTAGGATATTATTTGTTTTGTAGCTTGCAAAACAAAAGCCATATCGTTCAGTTTGTCTTAACTCATATTTCAATCTTTGATTTCCTGTTTCACCAGCAGCATTAGTAGATTCAGCTGAACCATAGTAGGACTGCATGCACATTCACAAATGTAGCATATCAAAGCAGGTTCCAACTTTAATAAGCATGACATTTAAAGAAGCAGATATCTGAGACGTGAGGAGAATCCAAATAAACATTTTAATATCAAAAAAAAAAAAAAAAGCATTAAATAGTAGCAGGCAGATAAGGAAAAGTGCAGAAAATTAAGGATTCATGTGCAAAATGTAATGCTCAAATTCACACACACACACTAAATATTCAGGACAAATCATGAACCAGATTATGCAAAATAATGTGTTAAATAATGATATGGAAAGCAAAAGCAATTATACTTTCATTCGTAAGTTAATATTCTCACATATTTTATATGGGAAAAACCTGAATCTTCTGCCTGCTTGATAATTGATGACAGCAGCATTGGGGATGGTTATTCTTTGTTTTAAAAATATCAATTGCACATATATATATATAAAATAAAATGTTAAAATAAAAGTAAATAAAACCTTTTTTTTAAATTATAAAACAATCTTTGGATTTTTTTTACACAACTATTGAAAAGTTTGGGGTTAGTACATTTTTGAAAGAAATTAATACTTTTATTCTGCAAGTACACATATAAGTGACAGTAAAGACATTTAAAATGTAAAAACATTAGCTTTTTTAAATAAGTGCTGTTCTTTTAAAATTTCTGTTTATCAAGGAGACCTGAAAACAAACATATGAAGCAGCACAACTGTTTTCAACACTGATAATGATAATAAATGTTTCTTGAGCAGCGAATCAGCATATTCGAATGATTTCTGAAGGATCATGTGACACTGAAGACTGGAGTAATGATGCTGAAAATTCAGCTTTATTGAAGGAGAACAACTGCACACTCAC